CGCAGATGTTGTTAGTCCGTGCAAAATGGTGTTATTTTGCACCCGTGCAGTGCAGTGCTAAATCCAGTAGGGCTGTATCCTGCTTAAGCGGCCCCCTAAGTTAGTAGATGCAAGGTGACGGTACGCTATGCCTTTGAAATCCAAAGAATTGACGGAGAATGTTATTTTTTACTGGCGGTATTGAAAGCTTGCACTTTGTTGCCAATTTTTTATAACGGGGTTTATTTTTGGCAAACGGAATATGGTTGGGAACATTCAGGCACAATAGCAAGGAGTTATTAGAATAAAGAGGCAGAACAATCGAACTAATTTTAATTAGACGAAGGAGAAAAATGTGATCACAGTACAGTGTTTGAAAGCACAGCGGCAGAAATCATGAGAATACTTCACTAAATGAGGCTGTCTTTACTCGAAGTAAGAATCGTCACCAAAGATGTGGAAAACGTACAAGTAACAAATGAGGCAAAAATGTTGCAGCGTAGGCATGGTAGAGGTAAAAATTGTCGAAATCGGAGAAGATAGATCATTTCAGGAAGAAGGAAGTGGAGAAAATGCAGGACTTGCAAGTATGAAAGAAGGTGAGTGGCATACCGACATCAAGCAGTAAAGCGAATGCAGGGAAACTAGTGTTTTTCATTCCAATAATCAGATCTGACGAGTTGACAGTGTTGGACTGGAAAAAAAGGAGGAAAACCGGGACCCAAGAGTGTAGAGCTAATAGCTTGCAATAATGAATAGAAATGCTGCATCAGGAAGACAGTTTCAATTAATGATTTTAACTATTGACGACAATTTAGACTTGAGGTGTAGAAGGTGAACAAAAATATGATAGCGACTAAATTAAAAATTGTAGTATAATTTGAGCGTGATAAAAAATAGACAAAGAAAGAAGGACAGTATGTTTAATATAAAAAGTTAAGTTATGAAATCGAGTAGGCTGAAGAGAAAAATTGTACAGCAGATTTGAAGTAGGCAGAAGCAAGAGAGTGCATGTTGAAAGAGGGTGAGTGGTAGTAATTGGAGATTTAGTGGACGCAGATAAACTTTCTCCTGGATAGAAAAAGCAAATTTCATGTGATGATCAAAATGAGAATAAAACAGTAATAGAGGTGGCGTAAGTAGGAGAGTGCTTGTACAAGGAAATCCAGTACTGGGCAAGAATATGAAAATAAATCGGAGTGCATAGAAAGTTAAGCATTGGAATACAATTGGTGATAATAGACAAAAGGAACGAATAAACCATATAGTGTTTGTTCTGGGTTCTGCTTCCCTGCATTGCAGATGTTAAGATGCCATGGAGCCGTCGCTGCTGCGATACCCTGGCCACCAGACACAAAGTGATGGTGCGGATCCAATAGAGTGACAAAAGTTCGTTATTCTTGGCAATATTATTGAAAATCAACAGGTTAATGCTGCCAAGTTCGATTTTTATGGCATCCATTTTGTACGAGGTCTGTCCATGAAGTCTCATTGCCTTCATGTGTGTTTGGATCATCGCCTTGAACCGTTTGCGTAAGCAGAACGTCTCTGATTTGTGATACCCGGTGTATGCGTACGTTTTCAGCATTTTCGCTGTAAGGCACCAGTTACTCCATCGCAAAAAGGAAGTATTCTCTTGTAAAGCGGATCTGCCTCTGCCTTATTCCTCCATGTTGCATGCTGGTCTCATGATCATGCAGTGTTTCGCGCCCGTTGTGCAAGCTCACAGGCTGGAGTAAACGGAGTACATTGAACCAGTTTGTCTGACATTGCCAATCTCCTTTTCTTGCTTACCGAAGTCACCTCTGCCCGGAATAGAATAGGGTCATATCTTAGGTGTTCTTTTCATGTAACCCTCATTAAACGTCGAAACTAACGCTGCTATATGCAGTTCAATTGTCATTGTTGTTCCATTGTTAGAACAACTGTTTT